TCCTATTAAAAACTAAATTAATTAATATGCAATTTCATAGATTTTATGAATAAATGTACAGAATAAATATAATCGCAGCGACGTGTTTTTTTTTCTTAACCTTATCATCATTACATCGTGACTTTATTTCCGCTTAGCATTTCTGTGAAAAACATTTAAGCGATGCATTTCAATTCAATTAGAGGGCAAACAAAAAAAGTTAGTAAGAAACTGCAGGAATTGATGCATATTTCGCATTAAAAGTCGTCTCCAAGTAAATTAATTAGCATCGCAATTATCGGCGCTGTTGGAAATCGTCTTCCGCTCAATGATAACGTTCGGATTGTTTTTTTTTTTTTGAGTAGGTATTCTTTAAACTCATAATCGCAGCGCTAATCCGATTGCTCATTGTTCATTTGAAACGCAGTATTTTCTATTAAATGCATTCCAGCAACGAATAAGTAAGTGCTTTTTATCGCCAGAGATAGTACATACTTAGTACTTTTTTTTTTTTGTTCAGAGTTAGTTTTTATTTTTAGATTTTATAATCTACGAATTCTTGGAAGCGATCAACTTATTTTTTGCAAATTCCTTCGAGTGGCTGGGTTTCGCGGCCATTTACTTTTTGTTGTAAATAGTCGACTACTTTTTCAACGTATGTACATATATAGGTATTCACCCAGTCTGTTGTGGTTGTGAAAAACATGCTTGAACATGCATTTCTCTCTTATCTACTCCATGCCGTTCAGTCTTCAAAATCTCAAATGAATTTTATTTTAATAATCTGTCGCCACAAACGTAAGCTAATATCAATAGCGACCTAGATGTTGTGTTTGGTGTTGAAACCTCTGCAGTTGCCTACGAGCAGTATACTCATAGTTACGGTGACCAGACAACGTTGTGAAGAAAAATCAGAACATTTCTAAAGCATCGAATCCGAACATAGAATTTTGTTTTTAGAACAAAAAGATAAATGTAACATCTTTTAGTACAGAGAAAAAAAAAGCTTGAAAAATTATCGCAAAAATGTGTACTCAAAATATATTTTCGGCTTATAAAATCATAAAAACAAAGGATGCTGACAATGTTTGTGGCTGCCTTATATTCTATGTTCTTCCTGGTAACGAAAGTGTTAGCACGTTTGTCCGAAAAATGGTTGTTGGGCCAGGGTACAGTACACTGTAAATCGGGATTAATCGGTGCAAATATGAAAATCGGGACACTTATACTCCCCGACTTTTGAAAAATATTCAGCGGGACAACTTTCTCTGAATCGTTACGGTGCCATCAAAATCGCTACGAATGGTCACCGTGCTCATAATACAAATTACTTAGTATTTTCTATACCTCATTGTTCTTGGTAATAAATGTACGAGTAACCCCACACACTAATACAGCTGCCGCCCACAATTTCACCTATTTCGTTTGCTGACTTTGCGGATGCTTTTGAAACCCATAGCCATACCACAGCCATCAGCAGTGTGTTGGAATGTTGTGGCACTTTCTGGCATCCTTGACGCAGCGTTCTACATCCTGACGTCCTGTCACCTGGCAACTTTCGGGTACTTTTCCATTCGGCCACGCTTGCAAGTTGCAATTGTTGTTCACTGCTACACTGAAAACTGATACAAGCCGTATGTATGTTCCTGTGTGTGTGTGTGTGTGTGTGTGAGGGCCTTATTGTGGAAATGGAGTGGCACAAGTGTGAGGTATGTAACATTTCTGCTTCTACCATCTCTTTGCCGCTTTGTGGTTGCATTTTTTTTTTCTCTACTTTTCCATTTTGGCGCATACTCGTATGTCAATGACGCAACAACTCACACATGTGGTGACGAACAACGCTGCTCGATTGTGTAATCGCTCGCCCATTCGATGATGCTACTCACACCTTCGGCTGCAGGCTCCAAAATCGATTGCCAACACCTGTACCGTCCCCGCCCCGCCCAGCCGCCGTTGTCGTCGAGCAGTCTTGCGCTGGATGAGGAGTTGATTGTTTGGCCTCGTTTGTGCACTCGTGCGCTCGGCTGTGTGCGGTCGGCGCAGGCAGACGGCATTTCGTGTAGTGAGCTAGGTTTTCGGGGAAAAAGTAGTAACCTACTTACGCTGCTACACCCACTTGCCACGTGCCGCGCCATCCAACACCCGCCAACACCGGCATAGTCCACAAAGTGCACACACAGACACACAGACAACAGCAAGAACAGGAAGCAAGCCAAAATGAGTGAAACTTCGGTGTTGGGCCAACAACATAGAGACCTACAAACAAACATACAACTAACCGTAGAAACGTACAACACCAGAAGCTCGCTCCAGCAACAGCAACTGCAACGGCAACAGGAAATACGACGACTGACAGGCACCAACAACACCGCCGTCGACGATGACGACGACAATATCGATTTGTTGGCGCACTGCTGAGTCGCGTCGAGTGTACGAGTAAACTCGTTTTTGCGTCTGCACAGACTGCTCGGCGATGTTGGCTTCCAACCGATGACGTCACAATGAGGTGGGGGTCCACATCCGCATCATCGCATCATCGCATGCTGCAGCGGTGGCACACTCGTAGTGACAACGACGTAAACGTAGTGACGACACGAACGTAAAGCTCAGCGCGATTGAGATTGAGGTAGCGTGCATCGGAGCAGCTAGAAATGCGAAAAAAACGCAATGCCCAAGCCAAGCCAAGTGAGCTGTTGCAGTGCGGCCAGGCTAGGCCAGGACGGGTCGGTAAGTAGGCCGGCAGGTCACTGGGAAAGCATAGCCCGGCCAGACAGTTGGAGAAGTGACGTATGTGCTTAGATAGTATATATGTACATATTAAAGCGTTTTCAGGTGAATTACAAGTGTTTAATTGCCAGCAAAAGGGCAAAGTCGAATGGGAAGTTCATTGCGCAAGGAAATTGTGGTGTTCTTTTACACCGCCGCTTTCAAGAAACAAAATATGGAGGAGCATTTTCATAATTTGCTTGCAAGCGAGATTTGCTATTGAATAGTGTCTGTTGTAAGACGCTGTCGGATATTTACTAATGCGCAATACTCTGACCGCGAAGCAACCTTAAGCCGCCCTTTGCGAACAGCAACTGGAGATACTACAAATGCAACGCAACTACAAACGGCTATGCAGACGCCAAACTGCGTTGTTAGACAAATAAGAAAATTTTAAACTTTAAGAATGAGCCATTTTAACATACATACATACCATTTTCTCCGTTACTAATGTCAATGCAGATTTTCATTTGAATTAGCTCAATAAAAACCCGTTTAAGCCTCTTTTCTGCGCGCCAATTTCGAGAAAATTTGCAGAGTAGCCAATTTTTGCGACGGATTCCGTTCTACTGGTCAACGAGAACTTCCTCCTTTTATTTCTAGGACCTTTCAGCGTCTGTAATCGAAATGTCGGCCGCGTAAGTGGCGCAGGAAATTTTTCTACCATCTTCTTTTTTCCTAGTTGACGGCCTCAACATATCAGCGTTCCCGCCCAGGAAAACAAACCGGGTCCTTAAAAAACTATAGCGACAGTGAGAGCCAGCTCGTTGTTAACCTCTTTAAATTCAATTCATTCAGGCTCCAAGATTCTAATTGCAATGAATAGATGTTCCGCGGTGTTCCCGGCTGAAGTGTTAGAAATTTTGAGCTGCTCCACGCGAAACCTTGAAAAAAGATTAAAAGGCACGAAAGACTGCTTTGTTGCGCTTCAAATCTATAGATACGACCACAATTTGATGGGTTCAAAGCCACTGTGAGTTTGAAGGTGAAAAGGTCGCCGTAGGATTGACAGGAGAGGAGTTTTCAACTGTATTTGTCGTACCGGCACAATTTTGTTGCGTTACTTTACATTGAAATATTCTCTGTCTGGCCAGGGGAAGACACCGTGTGAGCAGTTCAATACCTAAAGCATAATCTGTTATCTGCTTTATTTCATTGAAAAACATCCTTACTGTCGAAAGCATAGCCCACGAGTTTGGCCTTTCTAAGGCGACCTAGCGGTAATTATGGCTCCTGACTAAGGCCAACTGAGTAAAGTCAGCCTCACATTTCTTAGCCCTTTTAATATTTATTCGAAAGCTGAAGGTATCTGGGGCATTTAGGGATAAGAGACTTCTACAAATGCTATTTCACATCTTGTCTACCGCCGTTGATAGAGAACTCCTGAAGTGACACATAAGCCGAATGTTTTTTTTATTTTAGAATGGGCAGGTGTTACTAGCCGGTCAAGCTGTGTCCCTTTTGGAGCTCGATATGTAGGCACTCGTTTCTTCTAAACTGGCATTAAATCATTCAGTCAGAAGTTCAAGCGCTACCGAAACTTTGCGCTCCATCACGATCCAAGAACTTTGTCCATAAATAATAAATGGCGCTGCATTCCTTACAGGGGTCGGGGTTGCTGCACTGCAGTGCACGAACGTTGCAGACCATCGTGCAACAGCCAGCAGCTAGGCTACTACGCTGCAAAGCAATTCTGCGCTGCACAAAATGCAGTCGTCATCGTTTTGCACTCCACTCCGTCCACTCAGTGAACCCAGTGGAAGTAAAGAAGACGTGGGCATGTCAACACCTACTACTACTAACGTACGCTTTAAGTGCTTGTGGCAAGGCGGAGGTGCAGCAGAGGTACATGTACATATGTATGTATGTATGTATGTATATGTGAATTGCACAATTGTACTATTGCACCTTCGAGTGAGGAAGTAAAACGCAATTGAGCCGTACATTTGCGCATTGCGGCCTTTCTGCATAAGTGGGGGTGGCCGAACCAACTAGCCATCATTGCAATTCCGTCTAACTGTTTGCAGTGCAGCGCTGCACAATCTTGTATGTGCGTATGTATGTATGTGTATGAATGGTGGTATGCACCAACCACATCGAGGGGGCATGCCAGGTCGCTGTTCCGACCGAACCTCGAGCGCCTTCTACTTTCTGTTTTTCTGCTTTCAGTTTGCAGTCTTCTTCAATTTTCTGCTTTTTGTTGATATTTAAATTATACGCTCAACGCCAGCGCTGGCTCAGTCGGTCACCAGTTGTTTGCCGAAGCTCTTGAACTTGAAAATCGCGCGCCTTGTCATAGCAGTTGCGGAAATTGTCAGCTCAGCACAAGCCGTTTTGGTTGTCGTTTATTCGCTCAAGTCGCCGCCCGCCGCAGTGCTTAGCAAAATTGCATTTCTTACTTATTTAATCGGTTTGTTTGCAATGCTCGCTTTATGCGATTGTCGTGTGGCGCTTTTTTTTACGCAAGTCCAGCTGTTTACTTTACTTTTTTCTAATTGGCATAAAGCCATTTGTTTTCGGTGGCTTTGGTTGTAAAGCGAAAGTGAAACGTATTTTTATTTATTTATTTTTATTTTTTTGTTACTCTGGTGCATAACAGATAATGAATGCAAAAGTTTCCAGCGCGTGCCAAAGTTAAGTAAACACCTACATACATACATACATACATACGTGCCTTGCAACTGTTTCGGAAGTATCGATTGTAGTAGACTCTACATACATTTGTAGGTATGTATTGTGTGTAGCAAGGGGATCTTCTTGCGTGCGATAGAGAATTTATTAAGTCAGCTCTACAATGCTCTGGAAACTGTTGATCTGCAATGCTCGTTACCCGCCTTTGTTTAAATGGCTGTTTGAGAAATCCTTCAGGTGGGACCTGAAAAACAAAAAAACTTGGAACAACCGAAGCCTTTTCAGGGTGTGTGACTGTTCTCGAGCTAACGTTAGATACATTTCAAATTAGGATCTTTAGCTTCTACCCGAAAGAGGGCAACGTGCGCCACATTCACGCGCTAATCTGAATTTCACAAGTTCTCTCAGCTGTACGACAGACACTCTCACGCAGCGAGGCCTACTAGACGATGCGTCGTTCTAATTGCATTCTCTTTTCTTTTTTTTTTTGTTCATTTAATGGTTTTTTTCGTATTGGAATTTTTTGCGTCGCAGTTAAAGTTCATGTGAACTTTCAGGTCGTTTTTTTTTTGTTGTTTTTTTACCTCGAGTACACCTGTGCCAGAAATCAAAGCCTAAAAAGCAGTAGTAGACAAGTGTTTTGAACAGCTGGACGTTGCAAAGTGAGAAAATTGTTGTGAAATCTGAAATTTGTCAATTAAAAAATTAAGGCGCAATTAATAAATTTTTTTTTTTAAAGCGTTTCGAATTTCAATTGAAAAAAAAAAAACGTACGCCTATCACACATTTCATGTTTTTGCAACGCATAAAGTGAAGCTAATTTTTTTTTAATTTATTTCGATATTCAGTGCAAATTTCGCTTGAGCCTGGGAGTAATTTTTGAACTGTGAAGTATCTATATTTAAAAAAAAAGAAAAAGATTTTGAATCGAATTTAAAGCAATTGTGTGCAAGCAAAAATCGTATTAACCCCAAATCGCAAGTAAAATTGAAAAAGGCGAGTCTATGTTTGCAGCTATACGAGATTACTTTATGGGCAAAAAACTAAGCCGTGTTGCAAAAAAGGTGAGTGCTAATAAATATTGGATAATTTCAAACGAAATGAGTGTAAACGCTTATTAAATTTAAGTGAGCGGCGGAGTAACCTAAATGGCATATAAAACAAGAAAATAAAGTTAAAAAAATAAAAAATTAGGTACAGTTAAAAATGCATTGCTAGAATCGAAACGGTAATAGCCCGAGGCACGCCTTTTTAGCTTTCTTTTACAATAATTAGATAGCATCACGTATGTATGTACAGTGGCGGTCAAAAATGGATGAACGCTGTTTCGTTTTTAATATTTACAATGTTTTTCAATCAAAAATTTTTTGTGATATTTTTTTATAAAAATATGGTTCATGCTGTGACAAAACCTATATAAATCACGCTTTCAAATTTTGTGCAGAACTTAAAAAAACTCCACAAATTTTTATCTAAATTTCGAGCTGCAGTTAACAAGCTTATAAAATTCTATTGATTCATATTCATATATATTCATTGATTTTTAATTTTTTTTTTGTTTTTCGTTGACGACGGCGTTTTGCACTTTTTTCCATATACATACATAAACATGAATTTCTGATGGATGAATATGAATATGACCTTTTGAGAAAGAAAATGAAAAAAGTCAACGGCAGTTTTTCTAAATTCCACTTTTTATATGAAAAACACTTCAAAAGCCATCAGCGAAAAAAAAAATATTAAAAATCAATGCGATTTTATAGCCGCTCAAAACTTGCACTCGAAATTTAGATAAAAATTTGTGGAATTTTTCTAAGTTCTGCACAAAATTTGAAAGTGTGATTTATATAGTTTTTACTAAAGCATGAACCATATTTTTATAAAAAATATCAAAAAAATTATTGCCTCAAAGACATCGTAAATATTAAAAACTAAACAGCATTTGTCCATTTTTGACCACCACTGTGATTCAATCAAAACAAATAAATAAAAGTCCACCTAGGCTAAATTTGATGAAGTTAATCGGATAGCTTCGTTTTTCGTTTTTCTTATCGAACCCTAACCGCCAAAAAGATGTAAGTGACTTTTTTTTTCAACATTTTATTTTTTAATTCAAAGATGCACATCGGTGAGGTAGTTTTTGAGATACGCATATCTCATATAAGTGGGCGGTGCCATCCCCATTTTCTAAAATTTCTTGAAAACCACTTTTTTGTTAAAGAGCGATAGTAGATATCAATTTTGAACAATTATTGATGAATGCCTTAGAAATCTGAAAGTCCATATTTAAGAAAAGTTGCCTAACTTAGACAAATTTTATGCGATTACAATAAATGAGCTATAAGTTTATTTAAAAATTAATTTAATTTTAGATAGTACTATATATTTCGAAATTGTGGAAATTAATGATGGTCAAAATTAAAAAAAATGTTTTTTTTAATTGCCCGAAGAAAAATCCCAACAATCCAAGTCTGACAATAGATTATTATACATCATTTTAAAGGCCTGTAAATTCTCTTCGGCATGATTCGATCGATAGGCTTTCTGGCCTAAAATGACAGGTCGCGACGACCTCTAAATGATTTTAAAAAAATCTATAAAAAAATAGGCAACAATATTTCTCATAAAAAGGAAGGAAATTAGGGGGTAGGTTCTTGAAATTAAAAATAAATTGTTCGATGTGCCCCCTAATGTACATAGGTACGTATTCACATTTACACATCTAATCAATGCTGCTAATTTTTATCGTTTGGAACACACGTTCGTGGCGTTCTCTTATTAACTGTATTCGTTTATATCAAAACTGGGCTCGGGCTGTGCATTCGAAGAGCAAACTGAGCAATAAACAAACAACTGAAACAATTCAGCTAGTAATCTAAGCCAAAAGTAGTCCGAGCTTGCGGCATTCATAACACACGTCGGCTTGTTTTTTTCAATTTTGATATCAGTGTTTGAAACTAAATTATAGTTAAAGAACCACTAACTGAAAAAAGTCCATAGTCCCTCATCCATTATTTCGCAGCTTGACCATTCACCACTCAATACCCCATTAAAGCTAGACATTTGCATATTTCAAAGAAAATCGTCATCGTCGCCGATATTTGCTTAAGTGAAAATCATAAAAAAATTTGAAAAAAAACAAACAAAAAAACAATTAAGATAAACTAAAAGTTTATTAATGAATGACGCGCGTAATAGCACACACATATCTCTGCACGTTAGGGTGGTCCAAAATAAGTAAAGTCGGAATTTCATTGCTCTCACCCCCTAGGACTGTTCTTTGTCGAAAAAATATACCGCTTTTGTTTTATTTTTAAATTAAAAAATATTTAGAGGAAAAAACTATTTTTCGTTGACATGATATAGAATTCTTGAAAATCAATATTTTTCGATCAGAAAACTCGGGTTCTCTTCAGGAGCCTTCCACCAACAATACCCAATTGTTTATTTAACAATTTTTTAATACTAACGACTTTTTATTTATCCCCACATTGCATTTGCTGGGGGTGAGTTTTCCGATCGAAAATATTGACTTTCAGGAATTCTATAAAATGTCTATGAAAAGTGTTGTTTCCCCATATACAATAGTACATGGAAGACTTTGTGCGCTTTGATCGACCTCCAAATATTTTTTTTGATTTTAAAATAAAAAATAGGGGCGTATTTTTTTCGGTATAGAACAATCCTATGGGTTGAGAGCATAAAAATTTCGATTTTACTTTTTCATATGCTATTTTGGACCACCCCAATGTAAATTCATTAATACTGAAATTGCCATTCGCTAAAAGCCAGGCTTGTATTGCGTATACTGATCGACAGCTTTGTTGACCTGCTGGCAAACGCTTACTTTTGCATGCCTAAATACTACATACTTACTTACATACAGTGGCGAAAGTTTAAATAGGGAAGTGACGTTTTATTTAGCATCCCAGCGGGAAATGTAGTAATGCATTCCATGCTGGAGAAATAATCGAATGTATTTCTTATGCGTTCTCGATCATATTACTGGTAACTATGTAATCAGCATTCTATTGTATTCAAAAAGTCTCCAAAATTTCATATTAAATCACATTCATTTCTCGATACTAGGTAATGCAAAATTGAATGCCCCACTTTTCTTAGGACATAAGTCTCACCTTCGATAACGAATGGGAAATAAGTTAGTATTCGATTCGTTTAGAATTTTTGTGAGAAAAAATTTACATAAATATTTGACATTTTCGAGACCAAATAATTTGAAAAAGATTAAATCAGCTGCTCTATTTATACTACTTGTTCAATGTGCCTTGATTTAGTGGGCTACAAAGCCGCATACGCAAAAAATCTGATTCAACAATTTTCAAATTTTCCAAAGTTTGAAATTTTGATTTACAGGATTTTCTTAGATATTAAACTATATTTTCATAAAAAATAACAAAACATTTTTTAAACAAAGAAAAGTGGCCAAAAATTTGCTAAAATGTCTCAACCCTATTTACATTTTCGCCACCGTATGCGTGTGTACATTTGCATTAATTTGGTATGTGGGCGCACCTGTGCCATCGAATTGAAGAAGATAAACATTGAAATTCAGACTCTGCGGCAATGGTTCCATTTAACGACCGAATCGGTATCTTTTACCTGTACAAACGCACATATATACATACATACATACGTAATGCACATGTGCTCATGCCATTTTATATTACATACATACTTACTTAAAAGGATCTTTAAAAGGATCTTAAATGGGTTTCAGGATCGATTTTTTCGACGCTAGAAGCCATAGTTAACCCTTTGTCGCTTCTCACAATAATGTCGAAGTTTTCATTGTTGAGTAGCAAAACTGCCTGCATTTGCTGTTTTTCCTACATTTGCACCGCATTGAACGCTCGCCTATTTAGTGTGAGAGTACCTATGCAGTGTAAAATTCTTAAAGCATCTTCAAAATTTCCGATGACAACCAGTATTTCTCCCTAGGATGGTATACTTATGTATGAAAACTTTTGCTTTTGCTAGGGTTGCGTCCTAGGCGCTTAGCCCTCTCCACTCGACTCGATATCGAAATACAGAATTATGGATCTTATTCAAGCGGACCTGCGTCTCGATCCGCAGCAATCTCAAAAGAGTAATTAGGTGTATTCGATTTTTCGATTGCATACGAATGTATTCAATTGTAATTTGCTTTCTTTCTGTGCAACCATAAAGACAATTCTTAAGATTATAGTAATATCTGGTTTAAATATCCTTTTGTCTNTTCTTCAGTGTCTAACGTTCTCTTCTGGGGGCACACGTGGCTTAACTTTCATAGACCTTTAGTCGCCGCTTTGGCTTCACATATTTATGTACGTACAAATTTACATATATGAAAGTATGGGTATGTATGTACATATATATTTACATTGAAGCTCGATTTCAGTTTTAGGCGACATTGTGTCTGGTTGTAGAAAACACAAAAAAATATTTAACATATCAAACGGTCCAGTAGGGGTAGGTAGGTGAGAAACAACTAACCGGTTAGGGCGATCACAGTTTGTAGCAGGTGCGGCTTTCGAAACTACAAATATTAACATTTAGTCGATAGACTAGTAACTGAATTAAATTAACAAAGAATTGAAAATTTCGAATTAATATTCGAAACAAACATGGAGCTCGAAGCGATATTGCAAAAACAATGTGAATACTACCCAAGTAAAACGAGTTTAAAATTTTAATAAAACGTAGAATAGCCAAATCAAATATGAATATATTTACCTATGTATAAAAAAGCACACGAATGTATGTAGATATGTACACTGAGGGGGAAAAAAATAATTAAATAGGAGAATACCTTCAAGAGCGTGCGTAAAAAGAGTT